ACCCCCTGACATCCTANAGGGAGCCAATGACTTTTTGGGCTAATCACCGCGACCAGCTCTAGACGACGCAAGGAACAGGACAAGTACTTACCCCTCCCACCTCCACACGGAGCCGGAATGCTACCGGGCATCCACGCCGATTTGTGTCCCCTCCACCCATCTGAAAGACCGCCGCACGGGTCACCAANAAGGGACTGACGACCAACCACGGTGACCGAATCGAACTGACGCATCGAGGGGCGATCCCCCCCCGTCCCCCGCGACAACCCAGGGGTGCCGCCAGATAGCCACACAGAAACCTGAGTGAGACAATGCGCCACAGCCACTACTGGAAGAGCAAAGGCACAAAGACGCAAAGACAAAGACACAAAGAGGCCTCGAGGCAGAAGGCCACCCCGAGCCATCTTATCAAAGGACAAAGAAAGTGATCTCACCGAACACTTAAAAGCCCACTCCTCACCTGGACTCCCTAACAAGCTCCCCCCCCCTGCAACCCCCGAGTCCGCGCACCGAGGCCTGCCCACCCACGGACGACACCCCAATAAACACCTCAGTGATGGCGAGTGACACACCACCCCACGCATCCACGACCTGACCCTTTGAAATACAGAGTCACCTAGGCATGATGCAGACACTGGAGATTATCGGACCCGAGACCGGACGCTCCCCAAAGCGCGTACACCCGGACGACGACCACCCTAAAGACGACACCAACCCCGGCTCCGATAGACACCTGAGTGGCGACGTACGTGATGAAGTCATCGACGAGATCGAGTCGCGCCCGCGCATCCCTCTTCCACAGAGAGCCATCTGGCCCAGCCCTACCGCGCCACCCGCCTTCACGAAAGATAATCCCCACACCCAATCTTCGAGGCGGGGGGAAGCCCCACTGGCCAAGCCGACCGACCAGTCGGTCGAATTCCTTGATGCGACCTTTCCCCGGATAGGCCTGAGTATGGTGGATCTCCTAGACGGCATGGAGATGGCCCAGACCACGCCAGTTCTAAACAACCCGGGCGAATTCCTTGCCATTGTCCCCTTCAACGCCGGACCGGACCTTTTCGCGGCATGCCCAACGCTTCACACAGACATCCGCGACTTCATCGCGGACCTGCGCATCGACGAAGGACCGCCACAGGAGACTTTGGGGAGCGCCAAGAGACGCCTCGACACACACCGTCCCCTAGCCAAGAGAAACTCCAAACGTACCTTCGACAAGCCGTGGACTATTCTCCTTACCGGATTCAACAACAAAGAACGCACCTATCTGCTTTTCCAACAGACCTTCGCCGTCAATGAAGACATATGCTTCCATGTGCTGTCCTTCGACCCGACCTTCTACGAATGGACGATTATGCACATCTCGGGCGATGCGGTCAGGGCCGCTGAGGACGAAGAAGCCCGGAAGGAGGTTGAGGACGAAATACTCACTACTATCAAGACGACTCTTTGGAAAGACAAGCCATTCCGCAACTTCGTGGACCAGACCCTCCGCGCCGCCGGCATTCCAGGCACCGTGAACGACCGAGTCGCCTACGCGACGAGCTCCTTTACCCTCTCGTACATTCCCCTACGCAACCAGCAGGGCAGTGTCACGTGTCGATCCAGACCGACCTACGCCGATCCGCTCCGCCGATCGTCACCGATCTACACCGATCTCCTCCGATCCGATCTCCGACCCTTCGCCGACTTCTTCACCGACGCCGATCCCGACTTTCCCGTTTCGGTCGAGGGCGGGATACGCCTATCACATGCACCGGGCCACCGGCGGCTCAACGCCCCGGTGGTTCCAGATCTTGAACGGATTCAACTCCGATTTTCCTGTTTCCTGTTCCCTTTGTCTGACATCATAGCTTCCCTTTGTAGACTTTAGTTTCCCGTCGCTTGCGATGGATCTTTCGGTCCGATCCTTCCGTCTCTTCCGTAGATATGTTCCCTTTGTGTTCCATACAATATCTCTCGTCTCCGAATGTTCCCTTTGTGCGCCGAACGGCGCCTCCGATCTCCGACTCTCCGATTCCGCCATTGTTCTCTTCTATGTATATAAACCGTCGAACTGTACCGTAGATAGTCAGTTCGAATATCGACTAAGCTTCACTCTATTCCTCCTGCGGACTCAGAGCGCGTAGCAGCCTAGCGCACGAGCTTAGGCTTGGTCCGCATCCGATCTCGACTCCACCAACGTTTCCGACTTATCGACTTCACGCCGACGCGTCTCCGACTCCGCTCCGACTTCATTCTTGAGTTCCTCTCTTCTATTTTATTCTATTCTACGTATATACGTTTCGGACTTCGGTTCTCCGACTCCGTTATCCCTTGTCTGTATCCGATCTTGACAGGCAGACTCGACCCGGTCATGCAACTGATGGGGCGTCCGATCTCACCCAACTACGACGACCACCGCCGCTGGCTCGCGCTCATCCGCAGACCGGGATACTATACTAAAGGGGGACTGAAGAAGCTCCTTATCTAGAAGAAGGAAATCGAATGTGCCCTCTGCAAATCGTACACTCACCCGGCATGGGATTGCCCGTTCCCGAAGACCCCGGGATGGTACGGCCCCACAGAGGCGAAAGCGTCGAAAACGAAAGGCAACCTGAATGACCACCGCGGTAGAGGAAGAGGCCGTGGAAGGAATATTAGGGGCCGAGGCGGAGCAAGGACTCACGGCGGACGAGGAGGTTGGGAGACCGTAACCCATAGCCAGTACGGCATCAGATGGTAGATATCTGGCCGACTAACACAGAGCACCCTTGAAGTAAACTCCACGTCTGTAATCAAAACACTCAGTACACGATAGCACCCGGTGAAAGCATGTCCTCTTTGGGGAGAATGAGACAACGGAGACGCTATATGGCCCAAATATACTGAGCCGAAAGGTGACAGGAAAGCCGTCCGAGCGTATAAACTCACGCGTATGGGCTAAAAGGTAAGTGGAGTCCAGCCGACGCTAAACGGCGAATTCGTACGGGGGACGCGACCGCCCCAACGGGCGTACCACCCGAACGATGACCACTAACTGTTTTTAGGTCCAGCTAGCCGAGAGACGGAACCAAAGCAAGCCACAAACACGAACGAAAAGAACACAGTAAGCACTCACCACCCTTCAAACACTGACGGTCTTCTATGGTGCACGACACTTAGTCACCACCAATTTTGTGCAGGCGCCAAATTGGCTCGGAGGTCAAATGTGGCGCGGGAGTTCTTTTCAGGCGGTGAATACTACTATGAGCAACGAAAAAGATAGTCAACAGTGCTCACCAAAGCTTTGAGGACGGTGTTGCAAGCTTTACAGCGCAGTCCAAATCACATTCTGGAGTAGCACCAGAGCAGCAGTGGGATGATGATATGTGGCTGTGCAATCACTGCCCTATATGGAAGTGATTACATAAACACGCCAAATCGGGGTGACATTGAAATAATATCTCTCTGAATTTTGGGAACTGGGACAATCGGTCTGGAGGATGTTTTCTATGCATGAATTCAGCGCTTTTTAACAGAAAAGAACGAAAAAATGGGCATTTTTGGGGTCACAATTCCTGTGCACAAAATTGGTGGTGACTAAGTGTCGTGCACCATAGGCAACGGCGGATCCGCTCTCAGAGACGGACTCGACGTAGCCGCCAGTCGAGCCGTCGAGGACGAAGCGCGTGGTATCAGAGGCGGACAGGTACAACCAGATGGTGGTGAGGCTGTAGCGGGAGAGATCCACACGACCGTGACAGACGCTCAGCGTGATGACCCACCACAGTTGACCGAAGGGCCCTCAGACAGAGAGAGCATGGCAGCCTCAGAGCAAGGCCGACCAGAGACACAGACTGTGTCTAGGCCCCAGCAGACCGCTGGAGGACCACCACTGCAACGCAGAGGACGGCGAATCGCCGAGCAAGTGCCCCACACGAGACCAGTGCACACAGAAGCCGTTGCGAACGAGTTACGCAGGCGCCTAGGGAAGAACCCAAACAATGGCAGAGCGATGGGCAAACCAAGATGGAAGCCCCCCAAGGCAATGAAAGCAGGGATCCACATTGCGTCGTTGAATATCCGTGGATTCGGACAGGCGAATAGCCAAGTCAGTCATAACAAATGGCTCCACATAAATCAGCTGATGAGGGAACGGAGAATTGCGATCCTCCTGGTACAGGAGGCGCATATGGACGACCAGCGCCGGGACGAGATAGAGACCCTGTTCACGAACAGACTCCGCGTTTTCGTGTCCCCAGACCCAGATAACCCGACCGGGAAGGCTGGGGTGGCAATAGTAGTTAACAAACAACTAATCCGAAACTGGGACAAAATCACAGCGAAGACGATCCTTCCAGGAAGAGCATTGGGCATAGAGCTCAACATGCTAAACAACAAAAAACTCACGGTACTGAATGTGTACGCCCCAAATGATCCACAAGAGAACCTCGCCTTCTGGATAGAGTTGGACGGACACTATGCGATGAACCGACGTGAAACGAGGCCGAATGTTATGGGAGGAGATTTTAACCTAGTGGAAAGTGACATCGACAGATTACCATCTCACCCAGATCTCGACAAGGCCGTTGAGAAACTAGATGAGACGGCCAGCCGCCTACGACTGATAGACGGATGGAGGAATACATATGTCGATCGAAAAGAGTTCACATACTACCAAAAATCGACCATGTCCCAGTCGAGAATAGACAGAATATATCAGCCCTGGTGATCAGATTTGTATGATTGGGATGGCAAATGACGTGTGGAGCCAGTGCATAAAGCACGGCAGCCCTCATCATTCGTTCTGGCCACTTCGTGTATGACAAGGAAATCGGTCAGAATCATATAGACGGGATATTCGATACAGCACATATCATATATACCACGGCAAAGACATCAACACCGCAAGCTCTTACGTATCATACATAGTACGGCATAAGAATCATGGTGGATCGTGCAGCGTGCACACGGTTCACAAATGTCCCGTCATACATACCTCGACAACCGTTGCGAGTATACTCATCATCTCATGTATGACAGGCGTCACTCCCCGCACATAGGATATCTATTCTGATCGCATACTCATTCCGTCATTCTCATCTAGTAGAACAGGGAGATGCCGCGGTATGTATGACAAGCATTTATCACAAAAGTCATTTCCTGTATTTGAGTTTTACTGACTTCAAGATAGACACGGATCTTTGCCACGGTGTGTATGACAGGTATCGATCTCGGCACCGTCATTAGAATGTAGGGCATTCGCGGCGTTACCACCATATATCATACTGACTCGTGGCTCGTTACCTGGCTTTGTATGACAGCATTAATTTCGGTGTATGGTCGTCAGGACACGGGGGGGGGGACTGGTCATTCTGTCATAAGTCATACTGACTGGAGCAGCACGCGACACGGCTCGTTAACGTGCTGTGTATGACAGACATCCACCCCGGCATGCCTTCGTCGGGACACGGGACCTTTACGCGGTGAGACGGTACATTCCATCCTCTGTCATACTGACTCGAGCAGCACGCGACACGGCTCGTTAACGTGCTGTGTATGACAGACATCCACCCCGGCATGCCTTCGTCGGGACACGGGACCTTTACGCGGTGAGACGGTACATTCCATCCTCTGT